ACACACACTCACTCTCACACACACACACACACACACACACACACACCCTTTTCCCCCCCACCCCCCCCCCAACCCCCCCCCCCCCCCCACACAGCATCTACTAACTCACAGTGAACTCCCACGTCAGGAACAATCTGCTAAAAATACGCACGACCGAATGCCTCCCCTCCACTGAGTTAAAGGATCAGTGAAGATTTACAAAGAATAACACTTGAATCACTCATTCAGCTTACACTATTAGCAACATCTCTCTATCCATCCACTTACTGTTCTATCTATCTATCTATCTATCTATCTATCTATCTATCTATCTATCTATCTATCTATCTATCTATCTATCTATCTATCGTTCTATCATTCTATCATTTTAACCATCCATCCATCCATCCATCCATCATTTCAACCAACCATTCATCCATCTATACTTCATTCTATCCATCCATCTATATCTATCCAGCCATTCATCATCTATCGTTCCATCAATCTGTCCATCCATCTATCTATCTATCCATTATCCATCGTTCTATCGTTTTAACCATCCATCCATCATCCATCGTTCTACCATTTTAACCATCCATCCATCCATCATTTCAACCAACCATTCATCCATCTATACTTCATTCTATCCATCCATCTATATCTATCCAGCCATTCATCATCTATCGTTCCATCAATCTGTCCATCCATCTATCTATCTATCCATTATCCATCGTTCTATCGTTTTAACCATCCATCCATCCATCATTTCAACCAACCATTCATCCATCTATACTTCATTCTATCCATCCATCTATATCTATCCAGCCATTCATCATCTATCGATCCATCAATCTGTCCATCCATCCATCCATCCATCTATCGCTCTATACATTATCCATCATTCTATCGTTTTAACCATCCATCCATCCATCCACCCATCCATCTATATCAATCCAGCCATTCATCATCTATCATTCCATCAAACTGTTCGTCTGTCCATCCATCCATCCATCCATCCATCCATCCATCCATCAATATCTGTTAATCCACCCATACATCCTTTTGTCCACCCATACCTATTCATGATCGATCTATCTATCTATCATTTTAACCATCCATCCATCATTTCAACCAACCATTCATCCATCTATACTTCATTCTATCCATCCATCTATATCTATCCAGCCATTCATCATCTATCGTTCCATCAATCTGTCCATCCATCTATCTATCTATCTATCTATCTATCTATCTATCTATCTATCTATCTATCTATCTATCTATCTATCTATCGCTCTATACATTATCCATTGTTCTATCGTTTTAACCATCCATCCATCATCCATCGTTCTACCATTTTAACCATCCATCCATCCATCATTTCAACCAACCATTCATCCATCTATACTTCATTCTATCCATCCATCTATATCTATCCAGCCATTCATCATCTATCGTTCCATCAATCTGTCCATCCATCTATCTATCTATCTATCTATCTATCTATCTATCTATCTATCTATCTATCTATCTATCTATCTATCTATCTATCTATCGCTCTATACATTATCCATTGTTCTATCGTTTTAACCATCCATCCACCCATCCATCTATATCGATCCAGCCATTCATCATCTATCATTCCATCAAACTGTTCGTCCATCCATCCATCCATCAATATCTGTTAATCCACCCATACATCCTTCTGTCCACCCATACCTATCCATGATCGATCTATCTATCTATCTATCTATCTATCTATCTATCTATCTATCTATCTATCTATCTATCTATCTATCTATCTATCTATCGCTCTATACATCATCCATTGTTCTATCGTTTCAACCATCCATCCACTCATCCATCTATATCGATCCAGCCATTCATCATCTATCATTCCATCAAACTGTTCGTCCATCCATCCATCCATCAATATCTGTTAATCCACCCATACATCCTTCTGTCCACCCATACCTATCCATGATCGATCTATCTATCTATCTATCTATCTATCTATCTATCTATCTATCTATCTATCTATCTATCTATCTATCTATCTATCTATCTATCTATCAAACCATCATTCCATCAATCCATCTTTCATTCCATCCATCCATCCAATTAGTTATATGAATTTATTTGAATTTCAATTAATTTAAAATCTATTTACTAAAATTCAAATTACAATTCTGCATCCTGTTTTCTACATTATCTTAACTTGCTTCAGTCATTGTCATGTCAAGTCAACACTGATGGTTGAGCATCACAATAAGCGCTTATGTGAAGTTACTCCAGCACTACACCGTGTACGTGTTTCTGCCTCATGTCTGTAATGCACAGATCAATCCAGCGCGCTCTCTGGGTTCACAGTCACACACACTCTCAAGGTAAACACGCTTTTGCTAGATCAGCAGTACTGACATCAGCCAGCAGATCAATATGACTGGATCTGATAGATTGGCCTGCCCATAGAGTTTTCTAGCCACGTATGATCACATATTATCAGGCGTCTGTATGGATATGAATGTCTGGCACTGGGTTCAGTATCTTTGCGGTGTATGTCCTGTCTGGTCCAGTAAACTAACACTGTGTTCAGAAGAACGCATTGACCGACAGTGAGATAACTGAACACACGTTTACCTAGTCGAAGAGCAAAGGAGAAACATCTCATCCATTCTTCAGTTTGCTGTTGTTTGTTCATTCATACACTACTGTTCAAAAGTTTGGTGTCAGCAAGATTAATACTTTTATTCAGCAAGGACACTTGAAATAGATTTTTTTTCTATTCATCAAAGAATATTTCCACAAAAATAGAAGGCAGATGAAATATGAAGCATATTGTTTGTTCATTCATTCACACTGATTCATTACATTCATTCAGTATTCATACATTTATTCATTCGTTCACTTATTCATTTATTGTTCAATCGCTGCAGTTATTTGTTTACTAATTTGTTTGTTCATTATTCATTCCTTCATCATTTATACTCATTCATTTGCTTAATCATTCATTGCATTTTCACACATTCATACACTTGTTTATTCATTAATTCATTCATTAATTATTAAAGAGGACAAGGGATACTGGATTTTGCAGATACTGACAACTAAGGTGGAAAAAGAGACCATTTCTGATAGTTTTAAAAATCTATATAATGAGTGTCAAATTGTCTATAGTTGGACAGGGGAGTCCAGACATAAAAGCTACAGGAATCATTGTGCAACCTTTGTGCGACCACAATAATTTGTTTGTTCATTCATTCATTCATCCATCCATCCATCCATTCAATAATTTATTCACCTCCCAGTGGCTGAATACTAGCTGTGGGCTGGCCAGGCCACTCGTCCTCTTCCTGATCTCGTCAGCGAATCCGAAACTCTCAGCAACAGGAAGTACAGCCTTAATAATGAACATGTCTGTCCCTTCCTTCATCTCCTCTTGTAGGACTCGTCCTTCTCGCTTGGACAGAACGGCATACATACGACCTGCAACACACATATTTTTACAAACCTGAAGAAAAAACACAAAAAACATACGCAGAATAACTGTGAACTGATCTAAGCTTCTACTCCCTTTACAATGAATTAATAATTCATTTAGTCCAGTATTTATGTTTTTATATTTTCAGTTTCTATTTTAATAGTTTTAGTAAATTTTGTTACATGTTTTTGTCATTATTTAAAAAAAAAAACTTTCTATATAGCTTTAATTTATTTTTATTTCAGTATTTGTTTTAGTAATTTTAGTACTGCAACTTATTTCAGTAAAAACTAATCTTAACTTAATTGACTTTATCTGAACTTAACTCTTTACTCATTTTGCAGTTAATGAAAACACATTACAGTATTTATTAATATTTTGAATTAACTTTCATATTTCAATTTTAGTAATTTTGTTTGTGCTTTTCTCGTTTTATATATATTTTAATATTTCTAGTTAGCTTTATATAGTTTTCTGTGATTTTGTTATGCACTTTTGTAATTTTTATTATATATATATATATCATTTTGTAATTGTATATTATTTATATTTCTATTTAGCTTCAATTAATTAATACATTTTCAGTTTTAGCAATTTTAGTACTTCAACTTATTTCAGTTAGTTGCCAAGGCAACCACTTCTAATTATCTATATTCTAATTACTTCTATATTCATTAAGTTTTTTTAGGTTTAAGTTTTTCTTTGAATAATTACATTTTATTTTATTTTTTAATAGTTTTAGTTAACAATGACAACACTGATAAAAAACTAATTTAACAAATATAATGCATGTTATCCACGTCATTTTTGTCGGTCAAACTCATAGACAAGAGATCAGACATGACCTGAAAACACACACACGCACGCACACACGCACACACGCACACACACACACACACACACACACACACAAAATCCATCATCACGAGGCAGAAAGTTGCACGCAATCAGACGTCTGTTAAAATTAATCTGTTGCGGACATCCTTCTCCTTTAACTAACAAAAACAGCAGCTGATCCACACACACACACACACACACACACACAGGCGGGGGAATACGTGGGAGTGATGGGGGGAGCAGCTC